GTGAGGCCCTCCGCCACCTGCCCAGGCTGGCCCGATTCTGCACCCAGTGGTCCCAGAACTCGCTGGGCTCGGAGGCCCAGTACAGGCTGTCCTGAAGGTTGGCTGCATACAGGTTGCTCCAGATACCTGAGGGGACCCGAAGGGGAGAGTGTCCCCCACTCCTGTCACAACCAGCCTCTCCCACCGCTGTCCTGGACCAGACCCTTCTCAGGGACTAAGCCGGGAAGGCTGAGGGCCCGCTGTCCCACCCAGGCCCAGCCTCCCCAGTCTGCCTGGCCCTGCCGGCCTTCTAGACGCCCCTCACCTTCCAGGAAGCAGATGCGGGACTCGGGGAGCCGCTTCATCAGTCGCCCCATGAAGAACTCAGAGCCGAAGAGCTCGGAGGGGATGAAGGCCCCGTACTTGGGGAAGCCGACCTCGTAGGGGGAGAACTCGACCCACTCTGAGGAACCCACAGCCCTCAGTCTGGGGGCGCTGGGAGCCCACCCCGGGCTGCACCTCAGGGCACTCGAGGGACCTGGAGGCTCAGCCCTTGGTGCCAGGATTGTGAGCGAGGGACCAGAGACCCCTACCCCCATCCCAAAGGCCTGAGGGACCCTGGCAGGATGACATTTCCAGAAAGTAGGGGACCCGGCCCAGGAGCGTGGGTGTGAAACCCACCCCTACACACAGGCCGAGTGACCCATCACCTCACCAACCATGGGAGCCTAGGTCTCAGCTCTGGGGCCCACTCACCCCCAAATTCGAAGGTAGTCAGGCTCTGCTCCTTGGTGTTGAGGGCGCAGTAGATGGGCAGAGGGTTCTGGCCCCGGCTCAGGGCCTCCCGCTGGTCTGAGAGCTTGTGCTCATGGGGCTGGGGCAAGATGATTGGCACCTAACTCTGCAGCTCCCGGTGCCCTTCCGCCCTGCGGCCCAGTGCGCGCCCCCCCATCCCCCGCGCAGCCCCGCCCACACCTGGTCGTGCAGCAGCGCCTCGTTGATGAGGGCCCACAGGTTGGTGAAGCAGGCCGGGTAGCCCAGGCGGGCACGCTCTGCCAGCTCCTGCCGGTACCGCTGCAGCTGGCTGGGGGCCAGCACGCCCAGCTTGCTCTTGGTCACCTGGGTCTTCAGCAGCTCGGTAGGTCCTGCCAGGTCCTTCTGAGACCACTCCGGGTCCTCGTAGAGGTTGGCTAAGGCCCTGGGAAAGGCCGAAGTCCAGGGGATGTTGCCCTGCCAGGCTCGTGTGCCTTGGGCTTTCTCTTCTAAGACGACAGCCTGACAGGCACCATACGGGTCCCTGGAGCACACCTCCCCCGGCACAGGCGTCCTCCCAGCCCTTCCAGTTTGCCCAGAGGACTCTGGGGTCCAGGGGAGCCCACTACCATCACCCCCTCGCACGGCACACTACCCGCCCCCAGGCCCCAGCACTCCGCCTGCCACCGGCTCACCAGGTGGAGCCCGAGGCCCCTGTGATGTAGGAGATGCAGTCCAGGAGGCCCAGCTCTCTCAGGCCGGCCAGTTGTCCGTACAGGGAGGTCATCGCCCGGATCCCGCCGCCGGTGGCCATAACAGCTACCACTGGAACCTGGAAGAGGACAGCCAGGCTCAGGGAAGGCCAAGCCCCAGACAGGGGGTGGTAGCAGTCATGTGGCCCTGCCGCTCACCCCCGAGCTCAGGCTTGACAAGATCTGATGAAAGGTCTTAGGACCAGTGCCACATCAGCCCTGATGAGGGGGGACAAATGGCCTCCCAAGGCTTCTCCGGTTTTAAGAAGTCAGGAGAAATAGCCAGGACAAGTTCCAGGCCTCGCCTCCTCAGCCCCAGCAGCCCTAGATGTCTATCACTTTTTGGAAGCCCCAGGGCGACCTCGAAGGTCTCCCTCAGCTGGGTAGTCTCTAGCTGTCTCTCCCCCTCTTGGAGAGAGAGGCCCCTCCGGGGTGCCAGGTCCCCCCAGGGGACCGTCCTGGGCCAGCCACAGTCCTCATCCCAGGTGCCAATCCCCCTAATCAGCCAGGGAAGGAAAGCTAGCCAGTGCGGAGATTCATGCCTCCGAGTTCCAGGTGCCTCTCTATCTCCCTCGAGCACCTGACAACATCAAGTAAGAGGCGGGCGGAGAGGGGCAGGCGATGGGAGGCAGCGACAAGCCCAGCCTGGCACCAGTGCAGTCTCCTCATGGAACCAGTTCCGGCATTCAGCACAGGGCTCTGCGCCCGGGCAGGCACCGGGATGACCCCACCTGGCCCAGCCCAGCCCCTCCAGACCTCGTGCTCCTGCAGGTCTCTGTCCAGCTGCAGGGCCTGCTTCAGGGCCGTGGCCACCACCTGCTTCCTCCTACTTAGGAAGGCCTGCTCCTCGGGGCAGGGCCCGCAGCCCAGCCGCACGTCCAGCTCCCTGGGTCTGGCAGGAGGAAGGGACCAGGAGGTGGCTCTCAGACCCGCCAGAGACTGGGAGGTTGGCCCTGCCTCTCCTGCAAGGCCGGCTGCCCTCTCTCTCCTCCCTAACTCTCTCTGCCACTCCTGCATCCTCACGTTTAAGTTTGACGCTTGAGGAGCTTGCGTGGGAGAAAGCAAACCCAGAGGGCCTAGTTCGCTCTCTCCCCTCTTGGTTTCCTGGCCTTCTCTGTGCCTGAAACCAGGGTGCTGGCCTCAACTCCCCACCCGATTTTCCAGTCAAACATTTCTCAAGGGCTTCTCAAGTGCCTGGCATGGGGCTGGACACACCCCCTCTGACTAGAGCAGAAACAGAGGGGAGCGCCTTTACCGCCACGCCCCACCCTGCACGCCACGCCCCACCGTGGAGCAGCCCCAACCCTCCTGGACAGCCTCAAAGTGGCATGGATCCTGTGAACCGGCCTCTGGCCAAATGCCTGACCTGTGGTGACCCTGCCCGCCTCCCTTCATCCCTCCCCACTTGCCCTCCCAGAGCATGGCCTTCCCAGCCCCAGGCCAGGCCTCTCACCCTTCTTCTTTTCTCAGCTCCACCCTCATCAGGGGCTCCTGAAAGCCATAAGTGCCCCGGTCACAAAGGCTGGCCACCTCCTCCCACTTCAGTCCCCTCATCCTAGCCTCACGGGCACCACCTCCCTGATGGCCCTCGCTCCCCAACCCTCTCCCCAGGGGCCAGCTCAGAGCACCCCGCCCTGGGGGCTGGCCCAGCCTGAGTCAGGGCACAGCTGAGGGGGCAGCGGCAGCCCAGTCCCCTTCCTGGCCCAGATTAGCACTCAGCCTCCCTCCCTGGGACCAGTACCTGGGACGTGGGGAAGACGAGCCTCACCACCTGGCCACAGGGCAGGGCCCTCAGGGGCACCTTCAGGTGTTCCTGTGGGGCACCCTGCAGGAGAGGTGAAGAAGGAGACCTGGAGACTGCCCTCCCCCACAAGGAGCTCGCCACCCCCCACAGAGCAGGGGAGCACAGGGTTACCTCCAGGTGCTCTTCCCAGGGCGCCCAACTGCTGGGTTGGTGCTGTGGGGGATTGGGGGATGTAGGCAGGCAGGGTCAGGCTGGGAGGGGGCACCGAGGACAGGGGGAGGAAGGCCTGGGTCCTGCCTGCACAGAGCCAGGCACACTACCTGAAGACGAATGCTCAGCTCCTGCTCCCAGGAGGCCGGGTAATGGAAGAGGAAGCTGCCGGTGCCCACGGGGGCCTCCTGTGGACCCTCGAAGGACCCAGGGACCACGAGTTGAACTGTGCCCTTTGACCCTGGAAACAGGATCAGAACAGAGAGGCTGGGAGTGGAATCTCTGCCCACAAGTCCCTCGTCTTACCTAAGGGGCCTGGAGGGCACCTCTCTGTCCCCACTGGCATGGAGGGCTAGAATAGGCCTGGCAGGGAGATGGGGCCCCACCACAGCCCACTGAGGAGGCCCGGGAGAGAAAGCTTGGGTCCTGGGGTCTCCCAGCATGGACCGACTCCTGACCTCTACTCCTGCCTCTGGGAGTGAAGGCAGAGTGCAAGGTCCCCTCCCAGGGCACCTTGGAAAGGGGAGCGATGTGGCTCGAGACCTAGTCCGTGGGTCAGGGACTCACCCTTCTGGTCTCCTGTGTCCTCCAGCTGAACATGCAGGCAGGAGAGTTCCCGGGCCTGAGTCATTGAGAATGCCCCTCAGACAGCGACCCCCCCTTGGGGGACCCTCCCAGCCCCAGCACCGTGGTTCTGGCCCTCAGCACTTCGCCACACTGGCCGAGTCACCAAGCATTTGCTTAAGATCATATTTCTTTGACAAATTGAAATCAGAGGGCCCCCAAAACTCAGCTCTACCCTAACTCAGGCAGTGAGGGCCCGAGCTTCAAGCCCAGGGAGAAGAGTGGGCAGCTGGCATGAGAGAGGCGTCCTAGGGCCCCCCGCCCACGCCTAGAGCACAGTTCCAGACTCACCACCAAGATGTCATTGCTGGCCAGCTGCTCGGCACAGTCTGTCCTGGAGCGAGCCCTCAGTCAGCCCTGGCAGGAGCCCAGGTCCCCACTCCCCAGAGGCCTGGGCGCTCCTCCTCCAGCTCTGGGAATGCTGGCGCTGTCCCTCCCAAAAGGAAGCACTCCCACCCGGGACTCCCCCAGGGGCCCCATGGTCCCAACTCACAGACTCTGCAGCCTAAACTCAACTTCAAGGCGCTCCTCACCCTGGAGAGAGAGGAACAAGTCAGAAAGAGTAAGAAGAGAGCTTGTGCATGTGCGTGCGTGTGTACATGTACATGCATGAGCACACGTGCATACATGTAGAGTCCAACCCAGACGCCAGCTGGGGCTGCTGAGATCCCAGGGTGGGGAAGGCCATGGTCCACCTCTGGCAGCTCTGTCCACATTCCCCAGACTGCTCTAAGGAAGAGGCTAGGGGATGGGACTGCCGGCAGAGATCTCTGGGAGGATGGAGAGACACGGACCACCTACTGGGGAAGAGGGGCCTTGCCAGTTACTCTTCCCTGCACCCCCGGTCCCAGGCCGCGCGCTCTCCACGCCCTGTACACGGCCTGACCTGAGGGCTCAGTGAGAAGCTCTCACGCCGGATCTCCCCGACCCGCAGAGTCCCCGCGTCAAACAGCACTGACAACATGGGGTCATCTTTGGTCAACAGGTCCTGGTCAAAGACCTTCAGTTCCACGACATTCTGGAAGGGAAAGGGGAACAGGGTGAGCACTGCAGCAAGGGGGTGGGACAGGCAGGGAGCGGGGCGGGCTGGGGACAGTGAGCAGAGCCGCCTGGCCCACCTTGAGCTGGCTGTGGACTCGGAAGTGAAAGCTCTGGTTCCAGATGGGGCTCCTGCTGTTCCTGACCGTGCGTGTCTGCAACCTGTGGCTGGGGGCTGTGGGCAGCCACAAGGTCACATAGCAGTCAGAAGAGGTCACTATGGCAAGGAGGAACCAGTGCCAGTGATGGCCAGGAGCCCCTCCCAGCCCAGCCAGAGTCTAGAGACCCGTGTGGATGGGGCCTGGTGAGGAGGGCGGCAGACAGAGCCCCACTGCCACCTTCTACGCAGAACCTTCCCTCTGTATGTGTCTCCAGGACACCCCACCCCCGCATACCCAGCCCCCTCCCGCCCCCTCCCACTCCATGTCCACTCTGAGCCCAGCTGCAGTACCCTCCCTCTGCCTGTGCCCTGCCAGCCCAGCCCAGGGCAGGGAAGCAGTGCACTCACCTAGATCCCTCGAGGGCAGACCATGGGCCTGCAGGACGCGAACTGTGAGCAGGCAGGCCCCAGGTACCTTCGCCTGCAGGTGAGGAAATGGGGGGCAGGCTGCCAATCCCTCACAGGCTAATCCTGAGCCAGAAGGATTGGGCCCACTCAGCCCTAGCCTGTCCTCTGCCCCATTCGAGTCCGGAAGTGACAGGAGGAGACACGGTCTCCCCATAGGACACGTGCCAACACATAACACAATGTGTGTGCTGGCTCTGGGCCAGGGGTTTTACAAGTGTCAACTCCCTTCATCACACTACAGCCCTACGAGTGGATGCCATTTACGGTGACTAATTTCACAAGGAAACTGAGGAACAGAGGTTAAGCAGTTGCTTGCCTGAGGTCCAGCAGGGATTGGAACTTGGGCTGGCTGGCTCCAAGTTCTGCCCCCACACATGCCCACCTCCACTTCCTGGGTATGGTTCCCAGTCTTCCCACCCACATCCCAGCCCACACTCTTCCGCAACGGCTTTGGGGCTAGTCTTGAGTGACAGGGGACATCAGCTATAGAGGGAGGGGGACAGGCATATCAGTGCCTTCCACTCTAGGTCAGAAGGCCATCCTGGGGATGGCAGGTGGCACAGTGGTTAATGATGCTGGAGTCCCATGTGGCTGACTACGGTTTGAGTTCCAAACCTTGTGACTTGCTTTCTCTCTCTCTCTCTCTCTCTCTCTCGTGCAATGCACACGCACTTTGTCCCTCTCTGGTCAAATTAAACAAATAAGTAAATAAATAAAGTTCAATAAGAAAAAAATTAAGAAGAAGGCCATCCTGGAAATGGGCTCTGCTAGAGCAGGGCCAACAGTCCCTTCTCGGACACCCACGGGTCATCAGCTCCCTAGGTCCTACAGGTGCAGGCTAAAGACAGTCCCCAGGTAGCTCTCTCCAGACCTGCTCCCCTGGTTCTGGAAGTGTAGACTCCGGCAGCCTGTACCAACCGGCTTCCCTCCTTCCTTCCAGCCTTCTGCCCTACTTCCAGAAGGGCCCTGATGGGGCAAGTCCAGTAGCGACCCGGGTCGGGCAGAGCTGGGGAAGCTCACCTGTCTGTGTCAGCCCCAGGGCCCCCACACCCCAAGCAACTGAGTCAGAAAAAGCACAGCCACTTCTCCTGGGGCCTCAGGATGGCAGCAGGGAGCATCTGAGTTTCCAGGGCCCAATCCATGGCACCAGGGGGCTCAGTTTGGAGCCCACTCCCAGGGCAGAGATCACTCGGGACAGGTCTCTCATCCTGAGACCCCGCCTGTCCGCTGGCTCCAGCTCACTGCCCTGGTCGTGCAGCTGACAAACACCCCTCCACATGGGGCAGATCACAGCTCCTCCAAGAACAGCGCCTGCCAGGGGCCTGAGTATGGGGACCCACGGTCACAGTGAGGGCCCAGTGCCCTGCTGGGTCTTACCGGAGCCATGAGGCCAAATCCTCCGGAAAAAATGGGGCAGGAGGCACAGGACCAAGGACTGAGGACTGTCAGCTTTTCAACCAGAGCCAGGGGTGTCCCAGCCGGCCCCGCCTCCTCCGCTCCACCCAAGCACCACGCCCACTCCTGGGTCAGCCACCTGCCCAGGAAATGAGTGAGGACTCGTACTGGAGCTGGGGCGCCTTCGTGCCTGGAAGGGCTGTTCTCTCCAGCCATGGCCATCTGGGCTGGCTCCCAGCTCTGATGTAGAGGGGGCGCCCTGGAGACCTGGTGGTCAGGCCGATGCAAAGCAGGGTAGGCCCCAAAGCACGGGCAGTAGCAGCAGCAGCACCGAGCCCCATGACCAGCCTTTTGCAACCTCCCGGTACCAGTAGGACAGGAATG